CAAACAACAAAGTTGGGCTCATTATCTTGGTTTAGAATATTAAGGTTCGAACTCACCAAGTATTCCATGGAGGCATTCTCTTGGGTTGATGTCAGTGCTCCCCCATAATGTGTGGTGCACGTTGACGTCTCACCCAATGATGAGCTGCTTCTACCTAAGGTGGCAATATTCAACGATATCCCTCACTTCTTTTGAAGGTGGTGGTTCATCCGAATCATATGGATGGCAGGCTGAAGTGATGATGAGCTCGTCACACCTTCCGCCCAATGTGTATGTTATTCTCACCGTTGTTGTGTCTCTAGAACAAAACTCCAGCAAGGGTAAAGCATTAATATCATTATTAACATATATATACATGATGTCATATTTTCTTCAGATACAACAAAATAAACTGTTCCCCTTGAATTTGTTAAGCCACTTATTTGGCCTCTATATATCCAAGGTTTCTGAATAAGTGCTACATCTACTTTTCCTTCAGCAAGTTGTCGACATAGAATTACCTTAGCAGTTTTGCTGTGGTGAATCGTATGTTGTGTGTAAATGTCAGGTATGTATGTACGTGTTATGAGTTCAATCTGCAATGCTTGGAAAGGTGTCCTCCACCATACCTTCTTCCATAGCACTTTTTCCTTTATCGGACCTGGTTTCCTCCAAGGAGGTCCCTGATCTGGTAAGATCGGTTTGACGAGAGGAGGGATTGTATCCTACTCATCACATTCTCTCTTCTGTTCAACTGAGGGAGTGAGTACATCCACCCTACTCCTCCTCAAAGGTCAACTTGGAAGATACTGTATCTGACACAGGTTCTTCCGCGTGCTGAACTTCAGGACCATTCAACACCTTAACAGTCGCCTGTGAGAGTCCTGTGGATATTTCGTAACCGGTCGTCTGTATAGTAGTATAAGGGTCCCGGTCTATACGTAAGATAAGCCTCTGGCCTTCGTCTCAGATTGCTTATTGAATACCTTCCAGTTCTCAATATGAAGTCCTGGATTGAGGTCTGCAATCCATTTTATCAGCTCTTCCTAATTCTGTGTAACTTTGTCCCTAGTCCAGAGAGTCTCTTAAACAGGCTTTGGCAGGTTCCCGGCATCAGTAGCCTCCAGTCTAGCCCCTGATTTCAGCCTGTGATTGTCAATGGCTTTGTTGAGCCATTGACCAGATTGTTGGTCGGCGCATGCATAAATAAGTGCACCTCCCACTGGTCTGTGTGAGTTCAGGTGTGGTAATTCTCCCTTTGGAGTCCTGTGTAACACCTCCCCCAGTGCTTCCAGAATGGATTTCTGGTCATCATCGGTAATCTCATTCTCAGGATAAGTTTCCTTGAAGATAGCTACCTTTATATTGGTCAGAGCCTCCTCGTAATTCCTTGGTCCCTTATATTCCCTGGGCCTTTTCTGGGTTCTGGCCGTTTCTGTAGGGATACTGTCCTCCAATTTTGGCCCTTTAAAGGTACTGGTGGAGTTTCTCCCTGCTTGGACGAGTCTGCATTTCCTGGTTGCTCACTGCCCCCGTTATTGCTTTGCTTGCCCCAGCTCTTGCCTTTCTTAATTTCCGTCTAGCGGATCCAGAGAGGGCTTTTTCGCTAGACGGGGTCCACCTACTCTAGAGACTGTGTCTCAAACCTTCTCCTGCTTCATGTAGGCTAGAGGTGCAAGCCCCCTGCAGTAGTATGTCAGTACTACTGACTCCCATGAGAGGAGTTTTTGGTTTTCCCACTGGTTCATCTCTGCCTTTGGCTGAATGTTCAACAGTTCGCTATTTGCAACTGGGTTGTTCACCAGAGCTTCCAGCTTCCTGCTGGAGTATTTCTCGTAGGGATCCCTTTGGAAGGGGTCCCGCTTCAGTTTTAGGTCCTTACGACCGTTTTTTTTATTTGGTTCTTTTATTCATTTCTGTCCTACGAGACTTGGGGATTTAAAAGGTCGCCACCTTCAGCGCCCCATTCGGGTGGAAGGCATAAATACAACGGGGTGCTGCCGTGTGTCCCGAGGGGATCGTTCAAGACACTGGCTAATTACCACCTCAGTACCATGCAGCCTTCAGCACGATGTCTAAGACCTTGGCTTAGGTGTTTTGGTCCTGTTGTGAATAAAACCCTCACAAGTCTCCAGGACCAAGAGTGCTTGTTCGAGGGGAGACTGGTATCCCAGATGATTAATGGGAGTGCGACACCAGTTGTTCATGAGGTTGTGACCAGGGCAACCTGCATGAGAAAGTCGCCCCTGGGGGTGGCCTATTAGCTCCCCAATTCCCATCCCCCCACATGGGTTGGTCAAACCGTTTCAGAGTGTTGAGCCCGAAGGCTTCGGTACATTAATCGTATTCTAGGGAGACAACTCAAGTAGCCGAAGCTACCCCCCATGTGAGTTCTCTCCCGCATTCGTCCCGGGTACACCGTAGTGATACCCCCCAAGAGTCATTATGCCGCCGCGTGAGAGGCTCCGGTCATTATGTCATTGTCCTTTATGGGAACTTGGCCGCCATCCCCGTTAGGTCATGCTGATCCAGATCCCGAGACTTTCGTTGTCCAGCGGGACCATGAGGAGGTGTCCAAAAGCTGTGTCCCAACGCATCCCTGGTCCACGATGCGTCCCCACCAAAAACAGCCGTGGTTCGGCCAGCCTCATTGAGGATGGCGTCATTTCTACCTGTAGCATGTGATCTAAGAAAGTCACAGTTACCCATCCACGGTCACCTGAATCTTATTCCTTTTGATGGCAAAACTACTGGAATGTGAAATGCAATCATGTTTGAGTCTGACAATTCCTGCTGTTTCGTTGCAGGCCTCCCGGTCCTGGATAGTTTCAAACTTCCAGAAACGAGAATGTATCAAGTTCGTACCCAGCCCCGAAGATGAACACAGGTAAGTGGCCTGAAGGTGAACGTCAAGAATTTCACTGGACGGATGTGGAATGAAGCTAGGCGGAAGGAGCGACTTGAATGGATGTTATTAGCTTTTAATTTGTTTAGATTTTCAGTTATGACCCTTCAACCGCTTAGTTTGTAGCAAGGAGATTAAAAATGTTGAGACACCCGTACACACAACACTGGGTATCAAATAAAGTTTGGTACAATTTATCTGTAGCATCACATTCTGTTTAAGACCGAGGTATTCTGGAACGTGATAGTGATTAATCTTCTTGGTAGTTACCAACGTATGAGAAGAACCTATTGCCTTTGCCTTTTCCTCTCAGGGTGGAGGCAACATGTTCCTCTTGAACACTGGCAACTGTATACCAGACTGCACGCCATCACAACCCGGGAGATCACAATAATAATATTAATCTCTATAAGAACCAAAATTCTCTAGTATAGTATTCATTCGTACTTCCAGCTTTGGTCCTCCATCCATGGTCTGGTTGCTAGGCCCGTATATACTCTTTCTTTAGAGCGTATAAAATGATAACGGATCTGTGGGGGGGGGGTGTATAATGAGAAGTATTCGGATACAGACTTGACTGTGCAACATGTGACTGATTTACAATTGCTTTTAGTGATGTTCTCGTGAAAAACACACTTTGTAAATTATTTTTTTTAACCCTCGTTCAGATAGACGTTCGATCTATAAGAGCTAAAGTAACTGCACAGTTTAGGATGTTAATTATAAGATAGATTATTTCTGAGATGATGGAAGTGTTGTAACATGTGATCCACATGTAGTGGACCAAGCAGGAATTTCCTTACGTCACGATGGTGATATTGAAATACACTCCTTTTTGTTCGTAGTTGTGTGTATAGATGGTATAGATTATTTGGCGGATTTAAATATAACTCTTGACTAAGATGAGGAGCAGGTCACACGTTAAAAAATGTATAAAATGTAATTGAAAAATAAATTATTTAACTAAGACCTAAAATTTTTACATGAAACATCTTTCGATGTGGCATTTTTAAGGATATCATATCATCATTGACGATATCTGATTTTGTGGAGTATATTTAACTTTGTAATAGTGCATTTTATCTGCCGTAATCGAACATGAGAGCAAGTGAGGTATTTAAATTTGCAAAGAACGTATTTGTATTATCTATGCACCTCACTGGAGTACACCGATTCTCTCTGCCGTCTCGAGGACATCCCTCTCACAGATCCCTCTATTCGCTCTAGTCCCTGTGGGATTTCAATGTTACTGGCGGGAGACATGTGCGGTGTGACGTCGGAACCTTGATTCGCAAAAATAGCGATAAATAATTTTGCGACCTGATCTCATGTACCTTTTTGTGGGTGTTTTTGAACTGAGTTTAAATTCATTTCACTCAAATCCGTAGGGAGAAAGTTTCTCACAAGTTTCTGTAAAGTATGAACCTGAAATCTTACATATGAACATTTCGTTTGCTTCAATTCAACACCACCTTACCGCAATGCAATGGACACTGTGGACTATAACATACATAGAATACTGATGTTTAGGAAAGCTGAAGGTGGGTAAACTTGAAAGAATATTCTGTTTCCATTGGAGATACCTGTATTCGACTTCATAACTCTGCTCACAACTTGCACATGAAAGCTACACAGAACATAGTTTTTCGCTTACATTGCTGTATTATAAATCCTATATAGCAATAATAATACCGAGGTTTCCATTTATTATTAATTTCAGCGGTATAATGAAATTCGAGAATCTGAAATACACTCTGTCTAACAAGATTTCGTCTAATAATTTATGAAAATCAATAAAATAATTGTAGAACTGTGACAAACCTCATGATCCTGAAACATACCCATGTTTCTCAGTTCAATACTGAAAATAATAACGTGGCCTAAATAATAAAATAACTGAAGGACTATAATGAACCTTGAAAATCTGAAATATATACATGTTCACAAGTTCAATTCTGAACAGAACATGGCCGAAATAATAAAACAAGTTATTTTCATGAAGTAACAGACGGACGAAAGCATATCAGCATGGGCAGGGGCCACGCCTGGCTCTGAACACCTCGATATTTTTTTTTGTAATTAATTGTGTGGTAAACCTGCTGATAAATCTGAGAGCATCGTGATTTACGAGCAACAAACTGGCTGCCATTGTGAGTTGCATGTTTCCTTCCAGTACCGTACTCTACATTTTGAGGTTTTGAAACATGACAAAGTTTTAAGTACTGGGAACAATGGAAACTGCGTGCTCCCCTTTCAGAGTATTTTTGAAGAGGGATTATTTTTGTAAAGTGCATTGTAAGAATAGTCTTTAGTGTATGAAACTGCAGTTTTACCTCTTTTTTAACATGGGTGTGAAGGAAGATCAGAGATATGTTTGAGAACAGAGTGCTGAGAAGAATATATGGAGCTAAGAGAAAAGAGATAATGGGAGGCTGGAAATTACACAGTGAGAAACTTCATAATTTGTTCTCTTCGCCATATATTATTATTATTATTATTATTATTATTATTATTATTATTATTATTATTATTGCCAAGTTAATGAGGATAAGATGAGTGGGGCTTTGAAATTTGTCCATAGAAACACTTGCCCAAATACCATAGCACTGATCACACATTAGGACGTTTACGCATAAAGTGACAATTCTGATGCATTCGGTCCCTTTGGTTTAATTATTTCAAAAACCATTAAACTTGAGGAAAAGCTGTATTTGGAATAAAATATGTGCTTTCCTTTTGTTCTGTATGAAATATGTTCGATTTTCTTCGCTTCAATATATATTTAACGAGTTAGTGTCGAGATGCTAGCAGAAACTTGAGTAAGCCTTATTGTAAAGTGCCCGTTATTGTTGTCCAATTTGACCTAATGAAGGCATGTCTTAAAGCTTCATATTAAACTTGCAGGCCATAAGATACTTCATTCGTTAAACGCAGTTCCCTATACTTTCCATTGACCGATCAAGGTGGCAGCGCGGTCTAAGGCATGAACTGTCTTCTCTCACTTGAACGCTGGGATTGTGGGTTCGAATCCCACTCAAGACATGGAAATTTGTCTATGTTTATTCTGTTCGTGTAGGTAGTGGCCTTGCAATGGGCTGATCCTCTGTTCAAGGAGTCCTACCGACTGTTTTAGGATTAAGAAACTGAAGTGAAACAGAGCGTCAGAGCATTTTAGGATGCCCTATGCTCCGAAGTGGGAGCAACAGGAGAGAGTGAGAGACTTTCCATTTGATAATTACACCATATTCAGATGGGGCTTCCTATAGAAGTGTGAATTCAGTCCTCTAGGGGTTCTGCATTGTTGACTTCATGCTTCTGTTGACCTTTCATTTTGTAATGTACCTTTGAAATGAAAAGTTACTGGGTTGGATGGGGAGATGTATTCCTATCTCAGAGGTCCCCGAATTTTAAAATTCATTCATCTCCCTTCTGGGGCGTAGTACTTAATACATGCATTTTCACTATATTATTTTTACTTGTAAGTTCCTCAACAAGATTTATTAATTGTCTGGTTTCCAAAGTGTCAGTTATTTCACAGTATAGCTGGCACTAAGAAGTTCTTTCACCATTATTAATCATCGCAATTTGTTATGCCTTAGCTGGATATTCTGCATATTCATTATTTCATTGCGAGCAGCTCTCACTTTGTGGTCAAACCTTTTCAAAACTATTGCACTTCTCTGTCATAACATTTTGAGATTCATGCACCATTTGGGACAGCAACTAATGTTATTACTTTTAAAAGGTAAAGCTATCCCTGCAACAGGCCACGAAGGCTCATATGGTCATGAGACAATAAGGCTCCCATATTTTCTTCAGACAATTGGCACACAGATGGTTGTAAGGTTATCAGCCTTACGTGCCCCCCAGGAAGATTCCTGGTACTCATTTCTGAGTCGACCCCAGGCCCATTGTGAGGCTGGAAGGATTAGGTAAATTGAAAAAAAATCCATTTCTTTGGACTTGAACCTGCGACCTTTTGGCTTGTAGTACAGAACCTCAACCAACTATGCTACCGCATGCCCCCTATGTTATTACTTTTGATGTCCATAATTGCAAACAGTTGTTTTGTATCTGTTTTAATTTCATGGTTCTCCACATTTGTGCATCATGTTCATTGACAGTCCTGTAATATTCATCATCATTATTTCCGAGATGCATAGACTCCTGTATCAGGAAAAATAATGTATACTTCTATTTCATAGTAGCTTGTTTCATTGAGGCACTTTGCTACAAGCTGGAAGGTTGCGGGATCCAATCCCAGTGAGGTCATTGGATTTTTTTTTCAATTTACATAATTCTTCCAGCCACACTATGGCCCTGAGGTTGACTCAGCCTCTAACATAAATGAGTACCAGGAATATTCTTGGAATATTCTTGGGGATAAAGGGCAGCTGGTGCATAGGACTGACAACCTTACTGCCATCTATGAGCTGACTGTCTAGAAAATGTGGAAACCTCAGCATCTCACAACCCTATGGGCCTCCAAGGCTTGTTACAGGGATACCTTTACTTTCTTTACCCATGTGATGTGGATAAGCTATGCAGGATCAGAAGGGAAGAAGACTGAGTAGTCAAGTGGGATGGATCTGGAAGAAATTGTTCAAGGCTTAATTATGGTCAGCTGTTCCAGCATACTGCTACAGATAAAGGGTAAAATCGTCCCTGAACTTAATTAAGCACTGTGCCATAAAATGTATGAGGGAATGGAAGCATAGCTCTTCACACATCCTAAACCTTAGTACTAGATGGAGATGAGTGGTCATCTTCACACTCCAGTCACTTTTGTCATGGCATGCATTGGCTAGGAGGCTTAGTGGGTATGGAGTCGGCTTTGAAAGAGTTGCAATGAGACAAATGTCTGCCATTGACGAATATGTAACTCCCCCTTTTCATTGTCATAGTTTACTGACTATAGTGATGTAACTACCCTATTTCATATTTCTAGAGGGGACTGAAAACCACGGAACACTCAGGAGACCAAGGCTTAGGATCTCCAAAATATGAATGTGGAATTATATCATTGTTATGTTTTCAGATTATCATGCAGGAGTATTTTATTAGTCCTGTGAAAACCATTACTGGGACAAACTCCACTAAGTTTCTCTGATATATTAAAATTTTCATCAATACTGTTATCTGTTGAATTCACTTTCTCTCATATTGCACAGTTTGAATTTAATAATGGTGTAATAATGGGCAGCAGGAACCTCACAAAGGCTGTCAAAGTCTTTGCAAAGCATTTAACTTGTGGCCTGATCTATTTATATCCTCCATATTTCTATACTGCAGATATTTAATTGCTTAAATGTTTTTCATTTTTCTTTCCTCACCATAGTTTTGGAAGTCCATTTTGGTTTCTTCCCTTAGGTATATAATTCATTATTTGTATACATATACAGTGAGGTTCCATTCTTTCCACGTGATGTATCCAGTTATTTCTGTTATTTGTAATTTGATTATTTATATAAAAATATTAAATTTCTTTCTGGTCCTTATGTTCTTAAATTTTTCTTCTATTGCATATTCAGCTACATTTCTGCAGAATTATATTTTCAGTTTTTATTCTTTGTTATATCTTTTTCAGTGTTCATACTTCAGCACTACATGTCAGTCTTGGAATAATTTGTGTGTGTGTGCATGCAAGCGTGTATGAATGTGTCTGTGTGGTATGTTTGTGGTTAGAGGTGCATCAGCATATGACCATATGAGGTTGCGTAATGATCAGGATGGATATTGTGGGGCAGTGATAAGCATTATTATAAACAACATTCAGGGCCTACTACCACTGTGGAGTTGACTCAGTTTAATTATAAAAACAGCTCACTTGCTTAAATCAGAATTTACAAACAAGTAATTTTGAATGGCTATTCATGTGCATATCACCTTTGGCTACTGTTAGAATGAGAATCATACATTTTCTATGGTCAGTAAAGCATGCATCTAGATTTTATTTAATGAGAGTTTTCTTTAGTACAAGTGCCCAGAATGAACAAGTAATGGGGTAGTAGTGTCTACTGAAATACTCAGTAGATTTTAATGAAATTTGGTATTTTGAACTTAACATTCAAATTTTCAGTTGAATTTAACTGTGGAATGAACCAGTTAATTATAATCCCTACTTTTGTGAAGCTTGTACTGAAATTTATCAAAACTTACAAAAAGAAAAAAGGTCATGTATAAAACTTTGTTACAATCTGTCATGTGCATACATTTATTTGAAACACTTTTCTGTACAATGAATATTTAGCAAAATACAAAGGCCAGTGATAGACCACTCTGTGTTCCATAAACATGCATGAACACACATTAATCATGGTTGAAACCTGAGAACTTCAAGCTGCTACTCTGAAGATGGAGGCAATTGGTTCCTCTGATATATCAGTACCCATCTAGCAAACTACATGTCTTTACTTCTCAAAGACCACAATCCTTACACTCACCTCAGTGAGAACTTCAAATCTTGTGTACTGAATTAATTTCCAACATTAATTTTGTTCACATTGTCTTCAGGTTTTAATTGCGTTATCCACTAGGTGTTCAGTTTACTTCAGTTCACATATGGACACTTACTAATTCAGAAACAGCAGATGAAGATACGTCATTTGTAGTCAGAAATGGATTTGTATCTGCTACAAGTGACATTGAGATGTACACAATCAACTATCACACACATGTGTAATTCAATGGAATTCCTATTTCTACAGGTGCTGCTGTGGTCTGTCGTTCACTTTCCACCATGGTGGCCTTGATGTTGACAGCTACAAGGCAGTGGAAAATCAACAGTGGATGCCATCCACCCACACACAACCATTGCCTACTGATGCTTGTGGTACAATTGAGTTTCAAGGTGAACCATACACAAGCAAGGCACAGGTGAGGAAAACAAAGATATGAGTATGGTCCATCTTATTACCTGTCATGACATGTTGTGTTTCATACATCATCTTTACGTCACAGCCACACATAGGAATTTGATCATGCACACAGTGTTTCACATAACAATTTTAAAAACTTGTGTATACTTCATGACTTGTCATTTGCATTTTGTGAATTATTTTAACATCAAAACATTATAAACAATTTAAAAAAGCTGTCCCTGTCCCTGTCAGCCTTACATGCCAGCCGCCCTTTACCCCCAGCAAGATTCCTGGTACTCATTTCTGTTAGAGACTGAGTCAGTCCCAGGGCTGTAGTGAAGTTGAAAGGAGTAGGTCAATTAAAAATTGCAATTACCTCATCAGGAATTGAACCTATGACCTTCCAGCTTGTACCAGCGTGTCTCAACCAACTAGGCTACTGCATGTAACAGTAAATATGTCGTGCTTTACAGACCGTTTTCTGGATATTCAAAGAGGTAAACAATTCCTAAAAATATGCCTTGAGAGCTTTCCTTAAAACATTATAATCATCAGAAAGTGCCACCTGCTGCCATCACATTCTCAAAAATAGACATTTTGAGAGCATTTGTTAGTGTCACATGGTGATGATATAGGTCAGTTTGAGGCAAAGATCTGTGTTGGTAATTTAAGCATCCTGTTGCAAGCCATATTAAAATGTCTTTATAACACAGTTTGTCAATAATGCAAAAAATTGTTCCCTTCTCCCCCACTTACACTTCAACACAACATGTTTCAGCCTTAGATGACCATCCTCAGGTGTCTTAATATATCAAAACTGCTACACTGCATTAATATGTGGTAAATCACACGCTGTGGTGCACTTAATAAAATAGACTAAAAAAAATAAAATCAATTAAAATTTTCATCACTTTGGTGAAATTCTGTTCAACCTCACAAGTGGTGTCATCCATTTGTTTAAAACTAATTGTATATGTTTCCCTCCATGTTTTGTTGCAGCAGCTTGTTTTTATGTTCGTTTGTTCATTGTTCTGCTACATTTGCATTCTGTAAGATGCCCCTTGTTTGTGCGTTGTTCCCTCTAGCAGTGTGTGTCTTCACTAGTCACTAGACTACTAGATACAGAGAGTGCCAAAGCAAAATACTTTCCTTTCTGTTAACTACTGATTTTAGAGATGGAANTCGTTAGCTCATTGTTCTGCTACATTTGCATTCTGTAAGATGCCCCTTGTTTGTGCGTTTTTGCCTCTAGCAGTGTTTGGTGTTGTCTTCACTAGTCACTAGACTACTAGATACAGAGAGTGCCAAAGCAAAATACTTTCCTTTCTGTTAACTACTGATTTTAGAGATGGAACATTTTATGGAATTCAATGGGATTTTTGCCTTTCACATTTTGTACACAATGTGTGGAAGGGAGTGAAGGCCCTCAGAGCCTACCATTAGTACCAGATGTCTTTCAGGGCAGTTTGTATTTCTATCATTTTCAGAAAGTGAAAGAGTTAGTACCACATGATGGGCTTTGCAAACAGCCAAAAAGAGCACATTTATAGCAAAGATTTGTTCATGAATGAATCATGCTTCATTAGGACTAGATTGTCAACATTCACAACAAATATATGTTGAGATGAAAATCCCCATATTGTTCAATCTCACCATCAGCAATGATAGTTTTCCATGAGTTTGAGGGTTGGAAGTCTATGCAACTGCCTCTGAGGCCTCAAATTTTACAAGCATGAGTTGGTGACCACAGGTACCTTAATTTTCAATAAACAAGCTTAAGTGCACTAAAGAAATATGTATGGTTTCATAACTGCTGTTATACTATTGTTAGTGAAGTTATGTTCCTCATTATGTCTGTGTTCTCCTAACTGATTTCTTCCTTTAATATTTTCTCATAAAAATGTTCTGTGCATTTCTCATCTTCACCACCATTCAAAGTTAAGGTTTTTGTGTAATTTTATAACATTTAAGTGATTTTTACAGTGAACCAATAAACTGGACAGTTTCCTCTTGATCCTGTTGTTGGTTGTCCATGACTGTTTAATCAACAATTTTGTAAGTATAGTACCTCTATATTTGGAGGTTACCTTTTAAGGAATCTAAACTGTTACAGAATACATATACACAGCTTCTCTCTGGTGACAACTTGTTACATACCTGAATGCCATGTATCTTAACTGATCTATCAGGAAGTCACAGAGTACCACGGGTTCTTCGTCCTGAGAAAGATCCCATGGAACCCATTACTTAATGGGCTGAATAGGGGAGCTTCTCACAGATGGCTTCAGCATTATGAAAGACTGTGAAGTATCCCATTCATCTATTGCCTGTGTTGCAGTACGTGCGTCTGGCATATGATACAAGACCGGAACTCATTATGCAGCTCTTCATCAGGGAGTGGAAATTGGAGCTACCAAAACTTGTCATCACAGTGCAGGGTGGCAAAGACGACTTTCTTCTGCAATCTAAGCTTAAGAAAGTTTTGCGCAAGGGCCTGCTCAGGGTTGCAAAATCCACTGAAGCATGGATCTTCACTGATGGTACAAATAAAGGTATGTTGTAATGTTGAAACAAACTCCATGGGTAGCATCGTTGAAAAAGTTATAGCCTTTCAGATGGACAAGACATTCACTGTTCATGGAACCTGAAAGTTCATTGCTCAGTTCTCAAGAACCTAACAATGGACTGTGTCCTCATCTAGTTGAATCCAGTCCATTTCCTCATGCCCTGTTTCTTCAAGACCCATTTCTGTAATCTCATTCCGAGGTTTTCCAGCCAACGTGATGTACTCGTATGCATTTTTCATCTTCTCATCTCCACCTCATTGCTACAATCTCCCTAATAATGATTTCCTAGAACCTTGTGACAACTGTTAATTCTTTATACCACTATCATCTTGAACACTGTTCATTGCCTTAATAGTATTGTAACATGTTTACGTTACTGAATACGCCGTAGAGATCGTTAANGAGTAAAAATTATGAAGCTCACTGTGCAGGTGTTGCCAGCCACCTGTTACTTCCTGCCTCTTAGGCCTAAACATTCTCTTCAGCACCGTTTTTTCAGACATTATAGATCTGTCTGCTTTACTTTATTTGCGACAGTAGAAAAAAATGGGAAAATTTTTTAATGGTATGTATTTTGTAGCTGTGATTACCAACAAATGTAAGGTTGATAGGCTAACTGGTTTACAGCACTGCAGTCATACCTGCCATTGGATCCTGTCCTCAATTGCTCTGTCCTGAAGATGAGCTTTAATACCATCCTGCTATGTCTCATTCCTGAAATGACAACATTTATGCACAAATTCTATATGCATGTAATTTTTTCTCCACTGTTAGATGTCCAGCCCAGTGACTTGATTACCCTGGCTAGGTGGACTGTATGAATCATGGTTTGCTTGTCCGAGACATTCTAACCATCATCATCATCGTCATCATCATCATCATCATCATCATCATCATCAAAGATTAGGTCTTTTGAACTGTTCGATCATCAGATTAGATGAATTGAGCCTTTCATCTCTTCAATGGCCGACCTTGCACTCTTCTTTCTTTTGGATGATAGTCAAACAGCTTCTGAGGAATTTGATTAGTTGGCATTCTTGAAATATGTTCCAAATAATTCTGCTAGTATTCTTTTTCTTCTATGTTAAATAATGCATAATTAATTCTTCCCTAATATATATACATTTTCTGTATATTCTCCTATAGTCTACCACTGATCTCAGCTATCTCATTTCATAGGAATCAGTATTTTGGAGCTGTTGTTTATGTAAACTTATAGTTGTGATATTTGAATGAAATCAATCAAGCATGCATTACCATTACCAATATTCTGCTTCAGTCCACATCAAGAAATGATCAGCTCCTTTGGATACATCATTTTACTTGATTCACAGGTCTAAGAAAATTAATTTTTATTGCATCTGTAAAACTACTCCCCCAATCAGATCTCCAGGGGGGGTTGTTTCTAGAGGAAGTGTCATGCAGGCGTTACGTACATCACGGCTACAAGATTGGAACATGGAATGTAAGGACCTTGAATCAAGCAGGCAAATTGGAGAATTTGAAAATGGAAATGCAGAAGAATGAGGTGTCAGCGAAGTGCGGTGGAAAGGACAAGATGAAATAAGAAGTGGTGATTATACAGCGTATTATTCTGGAGGTGAACGGGCTGAAAGAGGTGTGGCAATAATGGTGCATAAAAGTGTAGTGAGGAGTGTTGTTAAGAAGATTGTAATGACAGAATGATTGCTCTGAAGTTAAAGGCGGAACTGGTAGATATACTGATCATGCAAGTGTACATGCCAACATCAGAGTATGAAGATGATGAAGTGGAAAAAGTGTATGACACAATTGAAGAAATTCTTCAGGAAGATGGAAGAGGTGACACAAACAGCATCATATTAGGAGACTGGAATAGCATTGTTGGAGATGAATCATATCAGAATATTGTTGGATCACATGGACTAGGAAGACTGAATCACAGGGGTCAAATGCTTATTGACTTTTGTGAAAGAAATGGACTGATTGTTACCAGCACTTGGTTCAAGAAGCCAAAGAGAAGACTTTACACATGGAAGGCACCTGGTGATTGGAGGTGGCATCAGCTGGACTACATCCTTGTGAAACATCAATTCAGAAACAGTGTGAAGGATGTGAAGACGCTGCCTGGGGCAGATATTGACTCTGACCACAACTTACTGGTTGCCAAGTTTTGAACCAGGTTGAAGAAAATTATAAGATTCCAAAAGCATAGACCTAGATGGGATTTGGAGAAGTTAATATGC